AGCCACGCCCCCAGCCCCTCACTGGGGGATTCTAGGCAGGGGCTCTACCACTGAGCCATGCCCCCAGCCCCTCACTGGGGGATTCTAGGCAGGGGCTCTCCCACTGAGCCACGCCCCCAGCCCCTCACTGGAGGATTCTAGGCAGACGCTCTACTGCTGAGCCACGCCCCCAGCCGCTCACTGGGGGATTCTAGGCAGGTATTTCACTGCTGAACCTAACGAGAAAGTACTTTCTAGTTTTTGGTAGTGGATGCAGGAAACTCTCTCGGGACTTCAGAGGTGGCAACCTGCTCATCATGAGAGACACACAGTACAACTGGTAGCATTTGAACCATCTTGTACAAGAAAGACTCAAGACCTGGGTGAGGTCAAGGAACATTAGAGTGTTTCCCACTTGACAAGGGCTTGGAATAAAGGGCACCAAGTACTGTTATTTTTCTCTCTGGGCCCAAAGCCCTTATCTCTCTCTTTGGCGGGTGTGAGGCCAGCGCGGTCAATCCTTGGGGGCACACGGTTTCGCTGTGTACCTCCTCAGACTGTGGGTGTGACGGTTTCCAAGGAGCTGTGTCTTTGTTTGGTGATCCAGAGTTGGGTGAGTCTTTGGGTGTATAACTATTTAACTTGTTTGAGGAGGTAGCAAAGTGGGGAGCCCCACCTACCTTATGAGTCACCCCCCAAAGTACACAGTAAGAAAGGTCAAAAGGGGTACACTTTTCCCGGGGGCTTGGTATGGCCACTACTTGGCCCCTTTGAGGGTCCGGGACCCACTCCCCTTACGCTGATTCTCACTGGTGCTTGGTGCTTCTAGGACCCAGAAGAAAAGGTGCTATGCTATTCCAGTCACCCACCTGATGCTGTAAAATAAAATGAAAGTCCCAGGCCAGAGCCAAACACAGTGAGCAGAGAAGTTTCCACATCACCAGCTATTAGACGAATTCATTTGTCAGATCTTAGACCGAGCACTGGGGAGAAACCTGGGGAGCTAAACAAGTCTGGCCTTTGCCCTCAGTTTAGTGGAGAGAGTCAGCTGCTATGTCGTAGCCTAATCTGAAATGTTCCCCACAGGCTCCTGTCTTGAGTACTTGGTCCCCGGCAGTGACACTGTTTTGGGATATAGTGGAGGTTGGGTCTAGCTGCAGACTTAGGTCACTAGAGGTGGGTCTTTGAAGGTTATCTATCCAGAGCCCTTTCTGCTTCCTGGTTCATCATGCATGACCTGGACAACCTTCCTACGCCTTCCCACTGCTAGGAACTGAGGTGCTCCCACAGTGCTCAGTGGGAGGAGAGAACGGACTCTAGAGTGTCATCCTCTGGCCTCTATATATGCAGTGTGGGTGTGTGCATGTGAACAGTGTGTGCGAGCCTGTACACACACACATGCACAGAGACACACATGCACAGAGACACACATGCACAGAGACACACACACACATGCACAGAGACACACACACACATGCAGACACACACACATGCACAGAGACACACACACATGCACAGAGACACACACACACACACATGCACAGAGACACACACATGCACAGAGACATACACACACATGCACAGAGACACACACACATGCAGACACACACACACATGCACAGAGACACACACACATGCACAGAGACACACACACACATGCACAGAGAGACACACACACACATGCACAGAGACACACACATGCACAGAGACACACACACATGCACAGACACACACACACTGCTGGAGCTGTCTTCTCATCTGCATGATACAGTTGGGCATGTTCTAGGGACCTGAGAGAGGATGAGCAAGAACAGGCTTTTGCAAGGAGTGCCCTCCCCACCTCATTTTATTTTTTGCTGTTTGTTTTATTGTTGTTGTCTTCCCTGAGACAGGGTTTCTTTGAGTAGCCCTGGCTGTCCTGGAACTCACTCTGTAGACCAGGCTGGCCTTGAACTCACAGAGATCTGCCTGCCTCTGTCTCCCAAGTGCTGGGATTAAAAGTGTGCACCACAGCCTAGCTTTGTTTGTTTTTTAGACGTGGTGTACTGTATCCCAGGCTGGCCAGGAAGCTACTCTGAACTCCTCCTCATCCCCCTGCCTCTACCTGCCAAGTGCTGGAATTATGTGTATGCAGCACTAACTATATTTGGCTCCTGGTTCTGATGATTGAACTAGGGACCTGAGAGAGGATGACCAAGGAGGTTTAACTTCTGAGAGAGGGAGAGAGAGAAAGATTGTGTGTTATGTGTATGATATGTGAGTGTGTATGTGTGTGTCTGTGTGAATGCATGTATATCTCAAACACATACACATATATTTGTGATGCTGGGGCATGTACATGCCAGGAAAGAATTCTATCACTGAATGACATCTAAGCCTAGTCTGTCTATCCATCTATTGGTCCATTCATCCATCATCAGTCCATCTATAATTTTGATTTGATTTGCTAGCAGAGGCAGAGTTCTCCTGTAACCCCAGCAATCAGGAAAGAGCACCAAGAGTTCAGGGTCATCCTTGGCTATATGCTGAGTTTGAGGCCAGCTTAGAGGCTCTATCTGAAGACACAGAGGAAAAAGAAGAGAAAGAGACAGAGACAGACAGAGAGACAGAGAGAAGGAGAGACAGAGGAAAGAGAGACAGAGGGAGACAGACAGAAAGAGAGACAGAGGAGAGAGAGAGAGAGAGAGAGAGAGAGAGAGAGAGAGAGAGAGAGAGTGAGAGCGCAAATGTCAGTCCCAGGGCCAGCATTTGCTGGAACAAGGCTTTGCCCTTCAGCCTGGGTGACATAGCAGGGACACCTCCCTTCCGTGTGCCTTGTCTAGAAGGTGAAGGGACTCCCTCCTTCACAAGAGGACTGTGAGGTGCTCTAGTGGCCAGGACCCAGGACAGGCAAGGCAAGATCTTTATGGGGCAGTCCACACCCAGAGCAGTCTGCTCCATACCTGGCCCCTCCCAGCCCAGGCCCTCGTGGAGTGGGGTGCAGGTGTCCTGGCTTGTCTCCTTCATCACTCTGTTCTTTTTGGACCCATCCCTTGTGATGCTGAATCCCCTAGAGCCTATAGCCTCAGCCCTTGAACCTGTCCAACCAGTTTTATGGGAGGAGGGGGCACCCCAAAGTAGCAGCCTCAGGCATCCCAGCCCAGGCAGAGTAGCTGGGGCTGCACAGTAGACAGACCTGAAGGAAAGACCGCAGCTGGAGGCTCAGGCCAGCCATGGGGCTCCACAGGAAGCAGGCCGTGCTGCTGATGCCTCTGTTGTTGCTGGTGACTTGTGTCCAGCCTGGGACAGGTCTGGGTGAGTGAGGCTGGGGTGTGGGGGGTGCCCCCACATACTCAGCCCCTCTGTAGGATGGGATACTTCCTTTGAAGCTTGGGTGCCTCCTGATCCCCCCCTCTTGGTTGTGGACTGGGTTCCTGGATGCTTCAGGTGGTCAGCCCTCCTCACTGGTGACAGATGGGTGTCTGTCCCTCAAGCTGAAGAGCAAGAAGACTGTCCTCTCCTCTTTGAGTTCTCACACCTACATTTTTACCAATGGCTCCTAAATAACCACTCCCCTCCATACCTCCATTCCTCTTCCCTCAAATGAAGACAATATTAACTACCTACTGTATGCAGGATACCTTAGTCTTCTGAGGTAGGACAAAAGACTATTTATTTATTTATGTGTGTGCGCGCGCGTGTGTGTGTGTATGGCAATGCATGTTCTGATGCTTATGTGGAACTTCTAAGAGCCAGTTAATAGAACCTGGACACCGAACTCGGGTCATCAGCCTTGGCCACAAGCGCCTTTTCCCAGTGAGCCATCTCACTGGCTCAGACAATAAAGTTTAAAAAGTGCTTCTCAACCTTCCCAGTGCTTCGGCCCTTCCACACAGTTCTTCATGTCGCGATGATCCCAACTGTAAGATTATTTTTGACGCGACTTCATAAGTGTAATTCTGCTACCGCTGTGAGTCACAATGTAAATGTTTTTGGAGGCAGTGGTGTTCCGAAGGTTTGCGATTCACAGGTTGAGATCCTGGTTTAGAGGCAGGAGAAATCCAACCTGCACCCTACTTCAGGCCAGATGCTTTGGAAAGAATCTAGTCTGGACCTTTGGACATGATTAATTCTACAGGAATTTTTGTTTTTCAGACAGGGTCTTTATACATAGCCCTGGCTGTTCTGGAAATCACTCTGGAGACCAGGCTGGCCCTCAGTCTCACAGAGATCCATCTGTCTCTGCCTACTGAGCGCCGAGCTCAAAGGCATGTGCCACCACGCTTGGCCTAGAAATTAAGTTTAAAGATTTATTTATTCATATATTTTATGTGTAAGAGTGTCCTGCCTTCATGTCCATCTGCATTGCTAAAGAGGGCATTACAGATGGTCGCGAGCCACCATGTGGGTGCTGGGAATTAAACTCAGGACCTCTGGAAGAGCAGCCAGTGCTATGAAACTCTGAGCCATCTTTCCAGCCCCAAATTAAATTTAAAAGTGTTTATACCGCTGAGTCAGTGTCCAGTGCATTGTGGACCACCTCAGGCGTCAGCGTGCAGGGACCTGCCTGTCTTCACCATAGCTGGGATGGCACGTGTGTGTTAGCACTTTTGGCCGTTTACGTGGATGCTGGGGATTAGAACTCAGGTCCTCAAGCTTACAAGGCAACCACTTTTCCACTGAGCCATCTTGGCTTAACCCTAAATTGATATGAAACTTGTACAAAAGCCCACCTCATCTTTCCAATTGCCCCAGTGTTAAGGGCTTGGAGTTGAAGGTATACTGTGGCTCTGGTCCTGGGCGGGGGAGCTGCTCAGGGAGGACCGTGGGGAGGGTGGAGCTTCTCCCACCAGCCGCAAAGCTGGACAAAGCCACAGTGCCTCCTTGAGGTCCTTATGGCAAATGAAACTGCGTAGCTCTGAGAAGAGGACACAGGGAGGAGGGCTGAAGTGGACGTTGAGCATGTGACCGCGGGAGGATGGAAGATGGTGGGAGGTGGCAGAGAACTAAGACAGGAACAAGCAACGTCTGAATTAGCTAGCCTCTGGCCCCACTAGATGATTCTCTCTCTCTCTCTCTCTCTCTCTCTCTCTCTCTCTCTCTCTCTCT